GAAAAGCACTTGGCAAGCTAATAATATCTGCGATTACAGTGATTAAGCTTCCCCTCAGCTGGCCCGCATCAGGACCGGTCACTGGAGCAGACCAGCTCATTCTCCAAGCCTATATTTTACATCATTTTTGTAGAGGGTTAAGTGTCCTTTGCAAAAGTTCAACAGCCTGCTCCATCAATGTGTGTCTAAAGGGTTATTTCAGAGATTGGAAATGTGGCAATTATATATAGTTACTGGGATTAGCAAATGCTTCTTCCTAAGGAGTCAGTGGTGTTGGTTTTCTTGAAAACATGCTGCATTGATGATTATCATGTAACTTAAAATTAAGCAGACACAAAGACAGTCAAAGACCAGCCCAATGTCGTGTTCAGAATTTTAGGCATAACACGTCCCAGGGTGCTGTGTCCACGTACTGACCGCCCATGGACTGTGGATGGTGTCTAACAGTCCCGCTGTGCTGTGGATGGTCTGCCTTGGGCAGGACACGGCCAGGGATGCAAGGAGGTGGACCTCCTCAGGACCACCGCTGCTGGAGAACCTCACTTGTGTATTTTTGAATTCTCAGGGGTTGGATGACAAGTAGTACCACCAAAGACACTCAATAAAAGCGGAAGGAAACTATTCCTCTGTTATCTTTTTTTAGTGGAAACTGCATTTAGTCTTTTGTTACCAACTGATTTTTGAACTATGTGAATCCATCATTAAAAGCTAAATATGAAGTTAAAAAAAACAATTTAGGTCTTATAGAATTGAGTTTATGTAATATACTCAAAGAGAAAAGTAATGATGTCCATAGGAACCGCTTAAGAATGGAAAACATTTTTAGATCCTTTAATAAAAAAAAAAAATACCAGGGTACATTTTGTTCACTGGAAGAGAAGTCAGCCAGGATAATTCTAGCTTTAAAGTAGAATGTCTTGGGGCGCCTGGCTGGCTCAGTCAGGCAAGCCTGCGACTCCTGATCTTGGGGTCATGCGTTTGAGCCCCATTGTTGGGAGTAGAGATTACTTAAAAAAAACTTTAAAAAAGTAAAGTAGAATGTCTTTTTGGATATTTATTTCACCTAGCTTACCTCTCTCCCACCCTCCTCCTCTTCATCCTGTCCTCCCTCTCCTCAGTTTCTCTCTTTCTTTTCTATGTAGAATTATGCAAGTCTCCTTGATTCCACAACTTCTCAATACTTGTAGCTCATACTAGAGAGTCATCAAAACAAGTTTTTTTTTTTTTTTTAATGCAGATTTTATTTCTTTGTTGGAGAGAGAGAGCACAAGCAGGGGGAGCAGCAGGCAGAGGGGGAAGCAGGCTCCCTCCAGAACGATGAGCAGGGATCAGATGTGGGACTCAGTCCCCGGGGATCATGACCGGAGCCAAAGACAGATACTTAACCAACTGAGCCACCCAGGTGTTTGCAAACAACACATTTTTGACAGGTATTTTATTTTTGGCCAAACAAAGCAAATTGCTAGCAGTAATTGCATTCTGCAAAACTGTGAGTGACTTTCATGCCATCTGATAATTAAGGTAGCCCCAATCACGCGAGGCGTCTTTGTCCCATACAGCCATGACCATCATTCAGGAGCGGTATTTAGCACTTGTGGACGGCTGCTGGAACCCAGGGGATTTGAATGAATTTCTATGGCCAGTTTATTTTCTGCCTTTTCTCGTGATGTCAGGTTCCTGATGAGCTGGAGAACTCGGGAGAGCGTCGCTAGATTCCTGTTGTGCATGGGCGTGGGTTGACCGAGTATGGAACTGGCTGGTGGAATGGGGTGAGGGTGCTTCTCGTGGAAGTTCCATGATGGTGTGTAGGGCACAGTGGGGAGAGGGAGGGATGGGGAGATGCCTGAATGCCCACCTGCCCTGGGAATAAATCAGCATCTCTCATTTGCTGCAGAGCCGAAGCCAGAGGGAGGGTGGCCGAGAAGGGGACCCTTCCTCTCCACAGCCAACCCCACCATGTGCCAGTTCTGTCCAGCAGCCTGGCTGACGAGTGGGTCTTCTTTGCTTGGCTCTGAGCTGTCCAAGGAGGAGGAGGAACCTTTGAGCCTGTCTTGTTGAGGATGGGCCCTCAGCCCCAAGGTGAGCAGGCTCAGTCAGGATTGGTTAAAGCAATGAGCAAAGGACTCAATCGGTGAGGGATTAAACCCAAGGACTTTTTTTTCTTTAAAAATTGTATTTATTTATTGAGAGAGAGAGAGAGAGAGAGAGAGAGAGAGAGAGAGAGAGAATGAGCAGGGGGAGCAGCAGACAGAGGGACAGGGAGAAGCAGGCTCCCCGCTGAGCAGGGAGCCCCATGCGGGTCTCGATCCCAGGCAGACACTTAAATGACTGAGCCATCCAGGTGCCCCCCACCCCTCAAAAATTAAACCCCAGGAACTTTAGGGATTAGCTCTTTTGGGAACATCTACATGTTCAAAGAAGTTCTTGGAGGAGAAAACAGTGAAGAAGGAAGAATTTCCTCGAGGCAGCTATGGGGAGCTATCCGGGGTTCCTTCTGTGAATCCTATTGTCATTTTAAGCTGTAATTTGGGGAAACCTAATAACTGATCATCATTTATCGTTTAGAAAGGTAAGGTCAGTATGTTTGAAGGGGCTCTGCTTTGTTTCAGGACTCTAAAATCTCTGTAAATGTTAGTGCATTTCAGAAATACGACCGGATTGTTTTCTATGGTGGGCAGTATGGAGAGGCGGCTGGAGATCCTGTCCTGCAAGGACAGCGTGTTTGCTCAGCTTCTCATTTGCAAATCTGATGAGGACAGGGCTTGGGGGGTGGAGCGGTGCAGTGGTTGTGTTTCTTATCCTGTACTCTTGTCCTTCCTGCTTGTTCTTACAAATAACATGACTTCGCCTTTTCCCTTTTTATCCCTTTCTCCGGCCATTTTCTGCTAAAAATAATGCAATCATAATAACAGAAGGAACCGTTTATCGAATTTCTACTCTGAGCCGGCTCTGGACCTGGGGCTTTGTGCTCTCTGCACTCAGTGGGGACAGCCACCAGGAGCAGGGGTGTCACCCATGCTGGTGATCCACACTCCACACCACCTCCCCCTAAGCCCCCTCTCCCCCCACTGTCCAGACCTCCGTAGTTAGGATCTGCAATTCGACAACATCCTTTCAGAGCTGGAGAAGCCCTGCCTTCTGCCGATATACCTTCCAGCTGAGCAAATCACATCTGGTTTCGGTTAAGTAACTATTCTTGCTCCGGTGGGACAGCCCCAATTCTGGGGTGGTCACGTGGTCTCCCGCCAGTCCCACAGTGTGCCGCCTGCCTTTCCATGGCAAAGCCATCTCCCCAGAGTCCCACTGTGACCACATCTGCTCACCTGCTCCGTGGATCCTCGTGGCTTCTCTAGTTCAGAATCCCTGGTCTGGAAGCCAAGGTTCTCCCAGTCTGCCCCCATGCTGTCCAGCTCTTTCTTCTCCTAGTTGTCGAAGCGTGGGCACCTTCTCCTCCAGGAGGAGGATGGATCTCTGGTCCTCCTTCATCCCCCATACCTTCCTGCACTCTGCCACCTGCCTGGGTAGGGGGTGCTGTGTGAAGAGTCCTGAAGTCAGGCACACACAGGCCTTTTCTGGGTTCGGTGAGTTGTCTGTCTTAGGGATGTGGGTGGAGCACCTGGGTGGCTCAGGCAGTTAAGCATCGGACTCTTGGTTTCAGCTTAGGTCATAGTCTCAGGGTCATGCGATCGAGCCTTGTGCTGGGTTCTGCACTGAAGGTGGGGCCTGGTTAAGATTCTCTCTCTCCCTCTTCCCCTCCCCTACTCATGCTCTCTCTAAAAAAATATAGCATATTAATCGAAAATTTGAGATCTAGTAAGGCCAAGAGATCAAGAGACAATTGCCATTGAAAAGATAGTTTATTACTCATCATTCCCAAGAGAAGGGGCACATCATACCATGGTGGGGGGGGTCACATGGGCACACACTAGGCTTGCTCAGGCAGTTGGGGGAGGGGATGCGGACAGAAGCCTTTGTCGTGGTTTTCATGGATGGAACAGGCCAGGCAGGACAGACAGGCTTAAGACCAGCGGGTCTGAATAGTTTCAGCAGGCTCTGGGATATAAATAAGGGCTGTCCCTATCTCTCTGGCACCTGGCCCTGGGACAGTTAGGACGGGTGGAAGGTAGCCCAGAGTGTGACAGCCCAGAAGAAGGGGTGGTTGGGGGTGTGTATGTGAGCTCTGGACTGGTCGGTTTGCTTTTGGAAAGCATGCTTGGGGTAAGTCGTATGCTGTCTGTGGAACTGGCTGACTCTGGGAGAAGCAGTCCCTCCAAGGTCAGCCAGGCCCCGGATATCAAAGCACCAGAATACGGAAAATGAAAGAGATGGTTCATATAGTCCTTGACCCTTAGAACATCTCTCTTGCTATGTGATGCTCAGGCTGGGCTGATGGTAACCTCTAGCAACCCGTCTGTCCCTGGCATCTGGCTTCCCGGCTGCTGGCCGCTGGGGTTTGGCGAGGGTGTCAGAAGACTCACATGGGATCACAATGTTGGGCTCGCCACCCCTCCGATGTCCTTTAGGGAGTTCTGGGCTGTAAGGTGCTGGGAAGCACCGGTGGGCTCCAGAAGGGCACTCCTGTTGCGGAAACAGGTGTCCTCTCTCAATAGATAGACCTGTCATGTGTTGGGGACAGAGCCTTTCTAGGTGGCCAGGCTCCAGGAGGGGTGGGATGCCCCTGTGAGGCAGACAGTCTGTTAACCCACTGCAGGGGATGTGTGTATACTTTTTAGTTCAACTTCTGTTGAGAAGTACTTTCTGATACAAATACTATGATATTTGCAGGCTTGATCCTCACAAGCGACCCTGAGAGGCAGAAAGGCCTTTTAGGATCCATTCCATTTCCAAGTGAGCATGAAGCTCAGGGAGGCCGGTGCATCCACGGGGGAGGGGGGAATGCGACCCGGGTCTGCCCCCTTCCCCGCGGTGCTCTCCTCAACATACAGCCTCCACTGAGGGCAGCGGTGTGAACTACAGCCTCAGTCCCAACACTCTGGTTTTCAGTGCAAAACACCCTCTGGTTCCAGAAGGAGGTAATTTTGCAGGGACTTTGGCAAGGGTAACAGGGGCACGAGGTGAAAGCACTTTTTGCCGAATAATTTCCGAATGGCACAGCGGCAAAGATGCTGCAGACAGCGTGGGGTGTGGGCCAAGGCCAAGAGGGACTGGTAGAAGGCCTGGTGCATCTGGAAGGAAGGCAGATGGAACATAAACCTGAGTGCATGGACCCAACAGCCAGAAGACCCCATGGTTGCCATGCCCTCCACCAAGAGGGTGTATGCACTTTTTGGAGGTGCGGTTCCTCAGGGGGTCCGAGGATGTCTGTTTTGGGTGGTAGAATGGGTAACACAGATAATCTCCTCACATCCTGCTCTACTCCCCCCACCCCCGCCCCCTGCACAGGGCATTGGCTGTTGAGCCATGTGGATGGAACTCAAGTCAATGAGACATGAGGGGATATCTTCTAGAGGCTTCTGGGAAAAAAAAAACGCCCTCACTCTTTCTTCAACGACAGTGACTGTGGACTCTGTTGGGTACAAATGTGGTTCCTGCCACTGCCTAGGCCATATCTAAGCTCTCACAGGGAGAAGGAGGACACACAGAGTAGAGCCTATGGATTCTGGTGGCTCTGCATTCCCCTCTTGGTGGGGGGTGGTTACTTAAGTCCAGTTGGGTGTGTTGGGTTTCTGCTCCTTGCAGCCAACAACACCCCAAATATAATAACAGCTCTTGGCTGCATGATTCCTCCCAAAGAAAACCAGCAATGCTCAGCTACGCTTCCACACTCTCCCTTTCTCCATCCTTCTTCAGATGCCTTACGCTTCACTGGTTAAGTGCCCACGTGCACACGGTGCAGGGAGGGAGCTGAAGCTCGGGGCTCTTGTACTGAGGGGGAAGGAAGGGCCGCTGCCTTACCTGAAATACTTCCTCAGGAATCACTTCCCTCCAGGACTCTGACACACGGAGCTGAGGGTAGGCATTGAAAAGAGTCTCAATAACCCTGGGGGCTGGTGCACAGGTCTTCAGCACCTGTTGGAAGTGATGGGAGACCAAGTTCACGTTGACTGGGTTTTGGGTCCAGGTAGGGGACAGGGCCAGCTGATAGGGAGGTGTGTTTGGGGTCTCCCTTCTGTCACTTCCTGGCCGTGGGACCTCACTATGCCTTAGCCACATGGGGAACAAGAGCCCTCATGGTAAGAGGACAGCAGGGTTCCCAACAAGCCCAAGGCAGTGTTCTGGTGGGGGGGGGGCACGGGGGTGCTGTCTTAGCACTAGGAGAGCTACATGTCCCAAGTCTGGGCTTGGGAATGGCTTGCTCATCCTCGTGCCCAGGAGCAGCATGCCCATGGCTCCATGTGCTCTCATGACCTCTACATTGTTGCTCAGAGCAAAGGAGGGAGGTTCTGCTAGGGGCAGTGGGAGGAGTTTGGTCCAAGGATGGTATTCGTAATTTCTTATCTCAACTTTCTTATATGTCAGGACAATGAGGGAGAAGAATGGCTTTGTTGTTGAATTTCCTCCTGACTTGGCCTTTCTATTTTATTTTCCGTCCCCACTGGCAAAGGATTCCCCTTTTCTTATTAGCAAATTTTACAATTCAGGTTCATCAGTTTCATCATGAAGATGAGAACACTGTTTGCTTTTTTAAAAAATACATTTCTTGTGATGGTGAATGTCAGTGAGCACAAAAGTAGACCCAGTGGTATGATGACCTCCATGTACCCACCATCAACCCATGCCTCGTCCCACCCCATCCACATGCCCATTATCTCCCCCAGTATTATTTTAAAACCATTGCAATGGATCCTGTATTTTCATCTGTAAAAATTTCAGTGTGACTCCTATAGGACACTGTAGGAGAAATACAACATCATTATAAGACTTGAGAAATTAACAAGTTTCTTAGCATCTTCAAATATGTGGCCAGTGTTTAAATTCACAAATTTCTCTTAAATGCCATTGTATGAAAAAAAATTGTTTGAATAAGAACCCAAATAAATAAAGAATAAATAAAGAACCCAACAGGATTGAGATTGGTTGATATGATATATTATCAGATCTCCCATTTTTGTGTCATGTTATTTATTTGTTGAAGAAACTGGGTTATCTGTCTAGCGGAGTTTCTCGGTGTTTGAATTTTGTTTCTGGTATTCGTGTAGGGTTTGGGAACATGACGCTCTTCATCTGCTTTTTGTAAATGCGTAGTTGGATTGGGAAGATTGATCAAATTCAGATTTGATTTTGGGGAGGTGTAGGGCAACTTCATACTCCTCTGTTTTTGAGGTTTACGATTTACCAAGTGTTGTAAAATTAGTATTTCTTCACTGAGAAAACTGAAGTTAAGCAATTTTCTTACAATCAGGCACCAAAATATCTACAGCAGACAATTAACAGGCAGGGCCAGCAGCTGAGCTCACTGGGGCTCTGTGAACAAGGTCAAATAGAAGACAGACCTGAATCACTCAGTATGGTTGCTCCATTCACAACTTGCCGAGCTTCCTTCACATATGAAACCCCTTTTAAATATATTAAAACAAAACAGGAAATTAATATCTTTTTGTTTAGAGATAAGCACGATTAGCATTTTGTATATACTAATGTTTTATGCATTTAGACAAAAAATTAATATATACAGTTAAAGTGGAGTAATACTGTGCCTATTATTTTGAAACTTGATTTTTGTCTACTCAACATCAATTGTGAACAATTCAGAAATTATAAATAAGCACTTCAACATCATTTCAGGGGCCATATATTTTATGAATATATTGTAATATATTCAATGAGGTGATTATTGTAAATGGATGTTATAAACAATGAACACTCTTGAATATCATTCTTTCTCTTTCTGCCTCCAACCATTCTTATTTAGATAATAAGATAAGTCTGTTCCCTTCTGACACTGAATTCCTAGAAGTAGAGATGTAGGATCAAGGAGTATGTACATTTTAGAGGTTTTAGCACATACTGTCTAATTGTAAGTGTGTAAATTATCACACTTTTTGAAGAAATGAGTATGAGAGTGTCTCTTTCTCCACTACCCAAGTCATCTCATTAATTATTTAAATTTGATAGAAAAAGTATGGAATATTTACATTTTGGTTGACCATTTCTCTTCCTTTATAAATTGCTAAGTTATGTCTTTTGCTCAGTTTTTCTATAGTATGTTCATTTTCCGCACTGATTTGTATATACACTTTATTAAGGTTATATCTTAGTCATTCATTTTTGCAAATAATAGTATTTTCTCCTCTCAGTATAAATATTTCACATTTATTTTTCTTGTCTTATTACATTGACCAGAGTTTTAAAGTTCAATGTTAAAGATTTATTTATTTATGAGAAAGAGAGAGAGAGAGAGAGAGAGGTTAAACACGTGTGTGGGCAGGGAGAGGGGCAGTGGGAGAGAATCTTTAAACAGATTCCCCACTGAGCTTGGAGCCTAACCAGGGGTTCCATCTCACAACCCTGAGATCATGATCTGAGCCAAAACCAAGAGTTGGATGCTTAACCAAATGAGCCACCTAGGCGCCCCTAAAGTTCAATGTTAAATAACAATACTGAGGCATCATTATCTTATTCCAAATTTTAACAAAATTATCTCTAAAGTTTCACTATAATAACCTTGGATATTAGTATCAGATAGATAATCTGTTCTCAGTGAAGGAAGTAGCTCTCTATTTCTAAATTACTACACATTTAAGGATGTATTTTTTGCCTTTTTCTAACCAAGTTGATACAAGATTTTCCAATACTGACCCATTTTTGTCTTCATGGAACAGACCCTGTTTGGCTATTCTGCATAAAATGGCAGATTCAATTTGCTAAGATTTCTGTATTTAAGAACTAAATATGGTTTGTCATTTCAGCTTTTTTAGCTTCTTTTGTCAGATTTTGATGTGAATTTACGCCAACTTAGTCAATTTAGAAAATTTCTATCTTTTTAACTCCTGGAAGATTTCATTTTATTTCATTTTATTTTTATTTTTTATTTAAGATTTTTTTTTTTTTAATTTGACAGACAAAGATCACAAGTAGGCAGAGAGGCAGGCAGAGAGAGAGGAGGAAGCAGGCTCCCCGTTGAGCAGAGAGCCCGATGTGGGGTTTGATCCCAGAACCCTGGGATCATGACCTGAGCCAAAGGCAGAGGCTTTAACCCACTGAGCCACCCAGGCGCCCCTGGAAGATTTTAAAAGTACATACTTATTGGAATTAAGAAGGCATAACAGATCTTGTATTTAACATTGCCTAAGCCTAGCCTTAAGCTGCGGGTAATATCAAATTATATCACTTTATCTTCCATGGTTATTGGTATACTTTGTTTTGATTATTTCTTCTTCTTCTTCTTCTTTAAAGATTTGATTTTTAAGTAATCTCTGCACTCAACATGGGGTTTGAACTCACAACCCCAAGATCAACAGTTGCATGCTCCACTGACTGAGCCAGCCAGGTGCTCCTTGCTTTTTTCTTGAATCAAGTTTGTTAATGTATACTTTCCTGGGAAACAATCATTTCATTTTATTTATTTTTTAAAAATTTAATTCCAGTGTAGTTAACATACACTGTTATATTAGTTTCAGGTATACAGCGTGATGAGTCAACAATTCTGTACTCAATGCTCATCACAATGAGTGCACTCTTGGTCCCCTTCACCTACTCCACCCATCCCCCCCACCTCTCTTCTAGTAACCAGCAGTTCGCTCTCTATAGTTAAGAGTTTGTTGGTTTTTGTCTCTTTTCTTCTTTGTTCATTTGTCTTGTTTCTTAAAGTCCACATATAAGTGAGATCATATGGTATGTCTTTCTCTGACTTATTTACCTTAGCATTTTACTCTCTAGCTCCATCCATGTTGTTGCAAATGGAACAATCTTCATTTTATTTTATTTATTTTTTTTTAAGATTTTATTTATTTATTTGAGAGACAGTGAGAGAGAGCATGAGAGAGGAGAAGGTCAGAGGGAGAAGCAGACTCCCTGTGGAGCTGGGAGCCCAATGCCGGACTCGATTCCGGGACTCCGGGATCATGACCTGAGCCGAAGGCAGTTGCTTAACCAACTGAGCCACCCAGGCGCCCAATAATCTTCATTTTAAAGAAATTTAGCATTGCATGTATATAGGAAATAGATGGCATGTTGATACAGGATCTTTCTGGGAGGAATTTTTAAATTTTTTATTGATTTTTTATTTTATTGTTTAATTTTATTGGTACAGTGGCTATTTAGCTCCATGTGAGTACAGGGGAAGTCATGGGACAGCGCCCTAATGTGGAGCTGGAAACACAGCCCTTTCTGCCTCTGGGCCTGAAGAGTAGAGAGTCGGGTGGGCTGTGTATCAGGAGTAGTGGTCCTGGGGCGCCTGGGTGGCTCAGAGGGTTAAGCCTTTGCCTTCAGCTCAGGTCATGATCTCAGGGTCCTGGGATTGAGCGCCGCATGGGGCTCTCTGCTTGGCAGGGAGCCTGCTTCCCCCTCTCTCTCTGCCTGTCTGCTTGTGATTTCTCTCTCTTGTCAAATAAATAAACAAAAAAATCTTAAAAAAAAAAAAAAAGGAGTAGTGGTCTTGGATTGGGGATACGCATCCAGCCTACGGCAGAAGGGGGTCCAATCGGAGACATTCTCTGACCTCACCCTCCTCTGTCTGTCTGCTGGGAGACTGTACTGGTGAAACCCAGGAAGGCAAAGGGCCCAGAGCCTTGTCAATGTGTCCGTGCAGGTGGGGAGAAAATCTGGATGGGAGATAATCCCACTACCTCTAGAAATAAGCATCCTTCTTTATTTGAAATGAATATATATATATTCATATAGTGATGAAATAATTGTATTTCCAGTGTCATTCCTTATTTAGTCTTACTGGAATTTTGCTAATTTTTTTTTTTTTTTCAGAGAATCTCCTATTGGCTTTTGTTGACCCATTCTCTTTTAAAATACTCTAACCCATCAATTATTGTGTTTATTGTTATTAATTCCTTTGTCTGTTTCTTTCTGACTCCTTGGATTGACCACTCAGCTAGTTTAGTAACATTTTCCCCCTT